GGTCCAGATGGAGACGGTCCAGGTGGAGATGGTCCAGATGGAGGATTCTGCTGTGAAAGAAGAAAATAAATCTGTTCCTGCAGAAGGTGAAAGCTTTGAAAAGAAGTGAAGTTTTATTGTGTCTTTTATTCCGATCCATAATTATATGTATTTCTGCTGCAGGCCTGAGAAGTTCTGCTGAAGATCTGAGAGGTTCTGCTGAAGACCTGAGAGGTTCTGCTGCAGGCCTGAGAAGTTCTGCTGAAGATCTGAGAGGTTCTGCTGCAGGCCTGAGAAGTTCTGCTGAAGATCTGAGAGGTTCCGCTGAAGACCTGAGAGGTTCTGCTGAAGACCTGAGAGGTTCTGCTGAAGACCTGAGAGGTTCTGCTGAAGACCTGAGAGGTTCTGCTGCAGGCCTGAGAGGTTCTGCTGAAGACCTGAGAGGTTCTGCTGCAGGCCTGAGAGGTTCTGCTGAAGACCTGAGAGGTTCTGCTGAAGAACTGAGAGGTTCTGCTGAAGACCTGAGAGGTTCTGCTGAAGACTTGAGAGGTTCTGCTGAAGACCTGAGAAGTTCTGCTGAAGACCCGAAGCCTGAGGTCGTCTCTCCCTCAGTCTGTGAGGATGAGGAGGCTCCTGAAGCAGCTGACCTTCCTCAGACTGGACGCTCGCCTGAGCCTCCGACTGAAAACCCAAACGAGACGATCGAAACGGGAACCGATCCTCCTCCCGGCGGCTCGGATCAGCCTCCGTCTTCACCTCTGATGGATCTGGAGGCGGACTTCCCTCAAGGTGAGAAGTTGTTGTTTTTTTTTTAAGTCCAGGTTTGTTTGTTTTTTAATTCACACACTGTTGTTTGGTTCTGAGCTGAGTTGAGATAGAACCTGACAGAACATATTTTTTTTCTTGTTTTTGCAGAGTCGTTGGATCTGAAGCCGTTGGTTCAGAAGCGAGGCGTGAAGAGACCCAGAGATCGATCCTACAGCCGGAAACGGGTACGAGACGTTCTGGAACTCTGAAGTTTACAGATGTTGAGCTAAAATGTGGCGTGGTAGCAGCTGAGAGCTACGGCAGGCCATTTTAACATAAAAACAGCTTCGCCACACTTACATTCCAGATAACTGAAATAGGTTTATGACCAGACATATGAGCTATTTAAGATGGCTCTGATTATGTTTTGACAAGGTTAAATACCTATTTGAGATATCTAATCATATTCATACTTGTATACACAACTTCAGATTTTTCCTTAAATTGGAGGCTCCAATTCAAGATATTTGCAATAAATTACTATTATGAAACATATATTTCAGATATCAACTTAAATTAAATTATGACTAATCATAAAGTAAATTTGAGATATCTCACTTTTTGTTCTAACTATACTTCCAATTAAAGGTATCTTAAATATATTTTTATATATCAGACATAGATTCAGTTAGCAATTAAATTGTAGATATCTTGAAAGCAACATCAAAACTAACTTAAAGGTATGTAAATATGTAATTTGGATTTGTAATCACATTTGAGATATCTTGAATATATTTAGACAAGGCAAAAAAGGCAAGGAACACTTTGACCAGGGAAATCAGAGTGGCTAAAAAATGCTATTCTGAAAAGTCAGCTCTCAGCCAACGACCCTGGTTCAGTGCGGAGAGGCCTTCAGAAGACCATCCCCCGCCGCCGAGGCTAACAAAGCCCTTGCTGACGACCTGAACAGCTTCTATTGCAGGTTCGAGAAGAACACATTCACACCTGTCTACAACCCCACAGCTCATCAACAAGACAGTGAGGACCCTCTATCTCACCCTCCCCCCACMACTCAAGCTGCATTCAAGAWATGCGAAGCTGATGTGAACCGATTGTTTCAGAAACAAAAGACCAAGAAAGCACCTGGACCAGATGGTGTCTCACCTTCCTGCCTTAAGACCTGCGCTGACCAACTGGCTCCAATCTTCACAAATATATTCAACAGATCACTGGAGCTGTGTGAAGTTCCTTCCTGCTTCAAATGCTCCACCATCATTCCAGTCCCCAAGAAACCCTCCATCACAGGACTGAATGACTACAGGCCCATCGCCTTAACGTCTGTGGTCATGAAGTCCTTTGAACGGCTGGTCCTGACCCACCTGAAGGACATCACTGGTCATCTGCTAGACCCCCTGCAGTTTGCCAACCTGGCAAATAGGTCAGTGGATGATGGTCAACATGGGACTGCATTTYGTCCTGCAACATCTGGATCACCCGGGGATTTATGCAAGAATCCTGTTTCTTGATTTCAGCTCGGCGTTTAACACTCTCATCCCTGACATTCTTTCCACCAAACTCCCCCAACTCACTGTTTCTCCTGCCATGTGTCAGTGGATCACCAGCTTCCCGACAGGCAGGACGCAGCAGGTGCAGCTGGGGAAAATCATGTCCTCCTCACAGACCATCAGCATTGGTGCCCCTCAGGGATGTGTGCTCTCTCCACTGCTGTTCTCTCTATACACCARTGACTGCACCTCCAATGACTCGTCTGTTAAACTCCTGAAGTTCTCAGACGACACAACAGTCATTGGACTCATCCGTGATGACAAGTCCACGAAGACTGTCAAACACAAGAACAGTTTCTCCCCCCAGGCCATCATCATCATCAACAGCTGATCATCAGACATCCATCAGCTAGATCATATATTCTATACTACAGAGAACTATCTACCACTCTTATTCTACACTACTGCATTACTGCACCTTATTCATAATCATCTACCTCTACACTGCTGCTGTCGTATTATTACTAAATRTTAACTTTGAATACTGCTGTCCTATAGTTTTTGGTTAAGTGAAGTACAATRTAAATCTTTCTGTATATAGTGTAATGTGTGTGAATTATATGTTAAGTGTCTGTACAGTGATACTAGAGAGACACGAACTGCCGGAAACAAATTCCTTGTGTGTGT